CACAAGCATCTGCAATTCTTTCTGCCTCTATACCATATGGTTCCAAGATCACTGGACAACCAACATTGCCATAATCCCCATCTCTACTACTACTAGTAGTAGTAGTATAGAATAAATTGTTTTCTCACCATCAGCAAACAGCAAGCACCTGATGCAAAACAATCTTGATGGTGGTACCAAAGTTGTGCTTTCCCTCTTTCCATTCTTGCTTAGCTTCCTTCATAGCAGTACTAGTTCCTTCACAGTATTCTTCTTCTCCCATTCAGTCTCTGGTGGGCTACTACCATTTAAAAAAAATCACAGCAATGGTGGTGATGCGAGGCTCACAACCTGCGAATGTTAATGGGCTCCCTAGTACTGCATGTTAATATGTGATTTACAATAGAGGAGTGAGCTTATTCACTAGCTACGCAGGATTTAGCCTCACAGGTGATTCCAATATTCTTTTTGCAAAATTGCTGCATTAGTATGCTGCAGTTCCGTTCTTTTAAATATTGGATGTTCCATGGTGTATTGTTCAGCAGTCACATGAATCTCTGCTTCTTGTTTCCTTCCCATTGCTATAATCAGAATCATTGTAGTTGATATCCTGGCTGCTTGTCTGATTGGTAGCTCTTTCTTCGTGGTAGCTTTGTATCAATTCCAATGCTACTGCAAAAAACATCATTCTTGTATATTGCCTCTAGTAGATACTAGTAGTATTGCTATCGTCTTCAACTCTTCCTCCTTGTTTTGCAAAGCTTCATCATGCTCTCGATGTTGTCTAGTAACGAGCATAACACTTTTGCGATTGGTCTTTCTACCACCATACCGAGGTCCTCCTCTCTTCTTCTTTTCATGGCATTTTCGTAGAGGCAATTGTTTTGGTCTTGTTTCCCAAAAGAGGAAGAAGAAGGAAGAAGGACGCCTTGCCTGCGAAGAACATTCGAAATGGTAAGTGGCATCAAAATAAAGGAAAACCGGAAAACCATAGTACTCATTTCTACGAAGGCCTACGGTCCTAACATTAAGAATGTAAAGATACTGTAACATTATTTGGAATGCGCTGTAAAACGCCGCGTAGTAAGGTTTTGAATACCAGCTACAGTAGACAGCAGCCCTTTCGAAATAAGAGGACTACGGTACGCTATGAAGCGGAGATTAGGTGGAGGGAATCTGCAATATAATGCCATCTTCCTCGTCACGAGACGTCGAAAGAAGATTTTTGTTGGCTGTCAATGATGTGTGTTTCTTCTTCCTTGGAGGATCGGCTTGGATATTGGTCAACGGGATCTACGTCCAAATTCCGTTCATAATTTTGTTCTTTGACGGGGACTACGGAGTCGTTTCAAAAATCACATTGTGCGTCACGCTTTCGGCTCTGCTGCCTATTTTTGGGTCCGTTTCATCCTTCGGATCCTTAACAAGTGCAAACCATGTGTGTTCGAAATTGAATGTTTGTAACATAAACGCAATATGCGCTTCTATGGGTGGCACCGAAAGCACCAGTGGTATTGATGAACACGAACGTTCTATTCATACCGGGATCACGCTGGTCCTGTCGCTGGGATTTGTGACGAGTTTGGTATTAACAATATGGACCGAACAGATACTCTCCCGATTGGCTCCGATGTTGGTCGCGAGCTTTGCCGCTGGAATCGTAGGAACAACATCTTCGATCTTGTATTATCCGCATGCTGCTAGTGCTGTTTCATCCAAAACAAATACCGCAAAAAGGCAGACGACCGCGATGTTGTTCGGAACAGCTGTTTCAAACCTCTTCGTTGCTCTGGTGGCAATTTTACAGCAACAAGAACAGCGTCAACAGATATCGGAACGAGCACAAGCAACCGCTTCAATGCGATCCTACTTTAGATTAATCTTGGTTTTGATGTGGTTTGCTATCGTTGGATTCCTGGGAACGCTCGTGATCCGTCGGTTTGGCGACACCACGCCAAAAATTCTCGAAAGTGAAAACAACAACAAAACACAATCAGCCCTCGAATCGTTGCCCCTTCTGGAAGAAAACTATCTGCAGCCGGGCAATACCGAAACGATTCTACATCGGAGGTCTTTTCAAAAGGCAGCTGATGTTTCCTTGTCATTCTGGGAAGTATCGTCTCTGAATTCTACACTGAACACTGCCCAGTGCGCCTTGAATTTTCTGGTCTTTTTTCTTCCCGGAATTGTTCCCTATTCGGTTCGGGATTCGAGCAAGGACGAGAACTACAACACCACTTCTTTGCGTTACCTCGTCGTGTCGCAACTCGTAGCACAAACTCTGGGAGTGCTGGCATCTTCGGGCGCTGGAGGCAGCAGCGGTGCTCGAGCATCATTCTGCTATCGGAGACCCGACAGCGACAACAACCACAGTGCAGCTCCGTACCAGCTGGGATTCATTTTCTTTTTCTTGTGGATTCCTTTGGTCTTYCTATCTTTTGAAAACGATCTTGMGTGTGGAGCTGGAATACCGATCGTTCTGAATGCTTTGTTAAATGGCGCCTATGGATATTGCAACACTGCTTGGTTTCACCTGTTGAACGATAACCATTGTGGCTCCCAAAATGGCGATACTAGTAATGGAACACCGACATCCGCAGTTCGCGTCATGGGCACTTGGCACCAGATAGGAGCCACGATGGGAAGTGCCATCGCTTTYGAATTGGTTGAACRCSKGGTTTTTGGWTAAAAACCATTTGTCGCGCAATCCGTGAAACGAACCGGCTCACAATCATCTAGGAGCAAGCAGTGGCTAACTCGCGACGACTGCAAGGTAGAAGATGAATTAYTTTTTTCACGAGTCTCGTTGTTCACATTTTAATAGGTTATAAATCAATATATTTATCGCTTCAACGAAAGCAGGGTATTTCCGGGTAAGGACTCACCGCTCTAAATGTTCGATGATAATACATAAAAGCTCTTACGAGCAACAGAGGTACCAGCAAATGTCCATTGTTCTTGAAGTAGTCCTCATCACTGGCTGAAAAGAAGTTATTCAAGGTGTTGACTCTTGTTGCCTGTCAGAAAAAAATTGTGCTGTGGCTACCAATACCTTATACCATTGTTTGTAAATTGGATTTTTAGGAATTATGAATGCAAATCTTCACTTACTCTTGTTCTGTTGATCTTAAGTTTACCAGAACAAAAAAAATCTACAAACTGCATACTGGAAATTCAAAAAATGCATGTCAAAGATTCCCTCGGACCCCTACAGTATGCCTTCTATGCTTCCAAACGCTCCACTATGGTGTGCGACCAATGCTTTCTTCGTTCGTGACCAAAATCAAAACATGATTGAACTGAGAAAGATACCTTACTCGTACCCGTAACGATACGGTACGTACCGGTAGGTACGGTACCTTCTCCAAATCTCGCACCATAAGCGAATCTATTAGAAGTACGAGTACTTCTAATCTGTTACTCATTCATCATCGTGCGATGGATGATTTCCTCTCGACGACTCCAAAGGGGACGAGGAAAACAAGAAGAGCGGTCTTGCTTGCAATATTGATTCGAATCGGCTGGGKGAAATAAAATCAACGAAGAAAGACGATAATGGTGGCGCTGCCTGCCAGAAAACGGCGCATTTGTTGCACGTTCGTCGTGTGTCTATCTTGGGAGTCGTTTTCGATCGGATTTCTCGGACCCCAGGCGACTTGTGGACGGCGCGGTCTTGCGAAAGGGAAGATGCATTCGATTCCGGTTCTCAACGCCTTTGCCAAAAACAGCGGCGAGGATAATGGCGAGGAACCAGGGGGCATCGCGGATCCCTCTGCTGGCAGCGACGACGACGACGACGATGGCGACGACACGGTCCGGTTGCCAACCGGCAAAAGCCCGCGAAGCCCCGGCGTGCTCCTGCCGCGCCAGCTGCCCAGGGGGGTCCTGGTCTCGGCCGAAGAATCACGGCGCCGTGCCACCGAACGGTCGCTCCTAGAAGCACTCCGTGACGGAGACGACGCGGTGGGGGAGCTCCGCGATTTCTGGCGCGCGCAGCCGCGGAACTACCGCGACGGCGACAAACACGAAACCGAACACGAACGCGGCGAGCGCTTTCGCGAAGCGGCGCTCGGGATCGGGGATCCGTCGTCCTGGGAGCGTTCCCGGGAGGTTCTCGAGAGCCTCTGCGGAGAGGATCCGACCTTCCTGCAGGCCTTTGCGCTCCTCTCCAAGCTCTACTGCCTCGAGGGGAAGCTGGAAGACTCGCGGGCCGTGGCGCTTGAGGTTCTGAAACTCAAGCCGTGGCACTTTCTGGCGATCGAAACAATGGTGGCGACCAGCTACGCGCTCAACAAGATCAACGCCTCTGTCTTCTGGGCGTCCCGGCGGCTGCCGCCTCCGGGTCGGGCCGAACAGCGAAGCGAGTGGATCGACCGGGCCATCGGGGAGTYCCTGGAGCTCGAAGCCAGGATTGCAACCCTGGAAGTGACGGGGGGGGACGTCACGGGTGGGATCTCCTTCGACTGGAGCTCCGAATCCGATCGAACCGGGGACGACGATCCTTGGCAATGAATCCATCGCGATGTTTAATCTGTCCACCGAGACGGCACGGCACGGTGGCTTTGGCACGGCCGGGCACCATGCTCCTCTGTGATCTGCTTTTCGGTTCCATACATTCCCACAAAAGCTCTCTAGAATAGACCCTTTCGTAGCTTTCACTGCACCGACTCTCTATCTGCTAAGTCCAAAATCCAAAGACAAGCAGAGAATTTGAGTGTTTGTTCTGTGGGTCTATGTTTTACACTACATTTTTTTCAGTTACATGTTATTGGAACAATGGGCCGATGCCGGTGCTTTCCCGGACTGGTTTCGTTTTGTTTTGTTTCGTTTTGTTTTGTTTCGTTCGTTTCGGTCTAGCAGAGCTCCGGCCGCTGGTAGACGGTGACCCTCCCGGCCGCGGCCTCCCCGCGGATCCAGAGGATCCCGAGCGTCCCCACCGCGGCGAGGACCGTCAGTGCCGCCCCCTGGGCGTAGGGATTCCCGATCCGCTCTAAAGCGAGGGGCAGAAATCCCTGGATCCCGGCCGCGGCGGCGAGGACCAGGCCCGTTCCGCGGCTCCGGCAGCTGGTGGGAAAGAGGGAGGTTGCCAGGAGGGGGGCGTTCCCGATCCACAGAGTCGAGACGACCGGGAGGCAGCCCGCCACCAGGACCCACGCCCCGGCGATCCCCCCGAGCCTCCCAGCCACCATCAGCGGCAGGGCCAGGAAGGTGCAGAGGGTCCCGCCGAGGGCGCAGGTCCAGAAGCAGCCCCTGGTGTCGGCCAGGCCCGCGGCGAGGGGTGTCGAAAGGACCTGGACGGTCTTTCCCGCCACCTGCATCAGGGTGGCCRTTCCGGCGGTGGCCCCAAAGTCGGTCTGGGCAAACTCGACCAGGAAGACCCCGAGATTGTTGAAGCCCGCAATCGCGGACTGCGCCACCACCAGGACCGAGACCAGCAGCCACCACGGGGTGGCGTGGGTGGCAACCAGCAACCCGGCTTCCCCGGATGGGGGTCTCCGCGGCGGTGGATCCTTTCGCGCCCCTCCACCGGTGAAATGAAAGGGGGTGTCTTCCCCCAAAACCTTCTGTTCGCTGCTTCCGCTTCCGCCACCCCGACTCTCCGAGAGCTCGATCGTCGGTCTCGCGTCGTCGTCGTCGTCGTCGTCCTCGCCTCCCCCGCCACGTCGGAGCAGCAGGGCGCCGCCTTCCCCCATGGTGCGCCCCCCGTCCGATTCCGCGTAGGCATCGGACTCGGGAACCCGGCCGTGGGCCACCAGAAAGCCCGCCGCCAGGCCAAGGGGGAGGACCGCCACCATGGCGAGCCTCCAGCCCCACACCGCGTAGGCGTCCTCCCCCACCGCCGCCCTCAGGCCGTAGACGAGACCGGCAGCGAGGACCGAAGCGGTCCCCCCGCTGGCGTTCTGGACCCCCACCGCCTGCGCGATGGCCCCTTTCCGGTCGGTCGTGGACCACAGCTCCGACTGGAGGACGTTCGCATTGCCGGCGGCGGCCCCCGCGGAAAACCCCTGTACGCACCGGAGGACCACCGCCGGGACCGAAGCGGCCAGTGGGTTCGACACGCAATACCACGAAGMAGAGGAAGAAGGCGGTCCGGTTGCGCCGCAGACGGCCGGGATCGCCGCCATAAGCGCGGTCGATCCCGACATGGCCAGGACGCTCCCGGCAAAGGAGAGCTTCCGCGAGGTCTCGTCCGCGAGCTTGCCCAGGACCAGGGCCCCCACCGGCCGGGAAGCAAAGCCTAGCCCGAAGGACGCCCAGTAGGCCCGCCTCGATCCYCCAAACAGCTGGCCGGAGATCTCGGTGCTGCTGTACCCATAGATCCCAAAGTCCAGCCACTCCAGGGAGTTCCCGAGGATCACCGGGACCGACGTCCGGTACAGGGTGGCCACGAGGCTCCGGTACGCCGCAAAATCCGACAGGGGGAGGGGCTTGTGGTCGTCTTCGTAGGTGTTGTAGTCCGTGCTCCCTTCTCCTTCATTGCCGGTGGCCGGGGTCGATGCCGAGTTGACCGCGGAAGCGGCATCGCCGGGGTTCATGGCGGGTGCGTTCTTTCTCCCGGGGTGCGACGGGCATGTGCTACGGGTCTGTGCTGCTGGTTTGTTGTGTTTTTTTCATCAATGGTTTCACAAGGCAGTGCTCGCTCCGAGAATCGCTACCAAGAAATACGGTGCGTGCCGGTGTTGTGGATTCGATCCTCGACGTCGGAGTTGCCTTGCCGTGCCGTGTAACGGGGTGTACCGGTGTATGCTTGTGTATAGTACTCGTATCCTGCCGGAACGAAGAATGAGAGAGGAATGTTGTTCCCTGCTTCCTACACGGGACGACGGAGAAGCGGGTCACAGTGAGTAGCCTCGGAACGATGGGGAAAAGGGCACAGAGAGAAAGAGACGAAGACAACTCTGTTCACTCTTCGATCCGACAAATTTCTCACTATGTTTTTCGACAGACCATCGAAAACAAAAAAATTGCATCGCAAATCTCAACGATTACTTACTTCTACTTTCTACTTCCTGTACGTACTACAAGTAAATGTACTACAAGTAACATACCTACTAGGACTATTAATGGTAAGTCCCGTAGTGGCAAGTTATTGGCAATTCCCGGGGTGTCAAATTTTTCTCATTTACCCAAATACCTCTAAACCACACCACTGCTGTTACTAGTTGCTACTAATACCATCAATACGAGACACTKGTTATCTTTAGGCGGATTCTTGACTTCTTCATTTGTGTCTGAGATTCTTCCCCCGACCAAAACCACGACGCAAATCCGAGGTTTGCACAGCCAGAGAAACAGCGCGATGAAGCGGCGCCTGGCAGCGGCGGCGGCGACGGCGAGAACCAAGAATAGCACCCACCACTCCGGCTGCCACCCCACGCGTCGGTTCGAGCTTCCGCAGAGCCGGTGGTTCCACGGCAGCTCGTGGTACGATGCCGCGAACGGCCCGTTGGTGTCTTGCGCTTCCAAGCGTGCAGCGCCACCGCCGCGGATCGAAGCCCCAAAAAATCGCTACCGCGACCGCCGGTTTGTCACTGCAAAGGCAACCGATGCGAGCGCGAGMCAGCCACGAAGGCAGAAGCGAAAGAAAAAAGCATTGGTCTCGTCGCCATCGACCAAGCGAATCACGACGAAGGACCGATTGAGGTTGTCCGCCCGGCCCTCGGTTGGAACATCTTCCAAGCACGAAACAACCATCGATTCCTTCATCGATGCCATCGACGCCAACCGCATAGTGGTCAAATCCCCGGAAGAATTGGTCGACCGGTTGAATTCGGGCCTCGACATTGCTCGCGCCGCCGTACAAGAAACCTACACGTCGCTCCGAAATCCTGCCGCCGCCTCCGCCGGAGGGAGTGACAGCAGCAGCAGCAGTGGCAGGAGCTTCCATCGCAATGGCATGGTGATGGACGCAAACTGGTGGTTCTGGAATCTCGTGCTGGCATCGAGCCCCGCCGTTCTCATAGCTCTGTACTGCGAATTGGTTKTGAAACCGAGGATGAGGGAGGCGAACGAAGAACGGAAAAACGGGGCGACCGTAGTAACCCTAGGAGGAGGGGAAGGGGGGATTGCCACCGGCGACGAGCAGGGCGACACGAGAAAAATGTCATCCATGCGGCAACGGCAAGAAGAACAGATGCGCGGTTTGCTGCAGGAACAAGATGGCAGCAAAGAATCCTCCTCTCCGACACCGATTGGTAGCGCAAACAACAATAGAAGCACTCTCGACGAGACGGTGTCCTTGGCGTCCTTGTACAAAYCCGTCCGATCGCTWGTTTCCTTGTTTACGGCACCACAACTGACATCGACACCGTCACCAGAACACGCCCATGATCACGGGGCAGGAAAGGGCGTCGGCGTGCAAAGTAGTACAAACGACGAGCTGAAAATCTCTCCACCGACCCAACGACACGTGGTAGATCGAGAACAACAGCAAACAGACAACCGGAAACCGCAGTTGGAGAAACAGCAGCGAGAAATAATCGAACTCCAATCCCGAGTCTCGTTGCTCAAAAAACAAATCGAGCAGCAGCAACAACACCGGGAGCAAACGCTCCGAGCGACCGAGGACCATGCGCCGGCCGACCCAAACGACAATGACAAACGTGTCAAATCTCGAGACGATCCTATCCCCGTCCCTGCGAAAACGAAAATCCCCGACGGCAATTTCTTGGTATCGCTCACGAAAACAACGGTAGCTGCTACGACGGCAGGGCTTGCCGCAGGAAGAAATTTGTGGGGTTCGTTGCAGTCGTGGCGTCAGGGCCGCGAACGAGCCAGCCATGACCCCATGCAAAGAACGGTGGATGCCAACAAGGAGGAAGAAAAAGCACCCACCGCATCTGCCGACTAAGGATCGGGATGCCATTGAACATGCGTGCCGATAGCTAGCATGGACGGCTATTAATGAATCAAGTCAGTAGAATGATTGCAATTTTACCAGCGATACCCAAGATCCCCTACCCATGGCAATTCCCCACCATTTACTGCCACAGAAAAAATATGATTCTACCATGCTCTTGCATCAAAGTCTCGCAATATGCAGTACAGGAGTGTCATAATTTTTGGATTGTGCGAAGTTCTTTCGTCCTTCCATCCTTTGTTTTCCTCCGTTCTCTTTTTTTGGAGATGAAGGGAGGAGTAAATAATAACAATACTGACCGGAGACCCTCCCCTCTCCCGGGATTGCTCCGAGAATAACCGGTACCTTTTCAATTCCTTCTTTTAACATAATGCTAGTAAATAAAGCGCATCGCGACACACCAAACCGATCCATCTTGTAGGGTCTGGCCCTATTCACAGCACCCAACAGACACCACCTGAACAAAGACACAATGTATCTTCTTGCTGTGATTTATCCTCTCTTATTCTTTCGGAGCAACGAAAATCGACAGGAATGGATGGCCATCTTTCGTTTGCAGTCGGTTCTAGATGATTTACGGTACATGCTGTGAGAAATTCTAAATTCTTATCAAACCATTTCGTAAACCACATGTTTACAGAGAGGATTTTGTGAGAAGTTTTTCCCAAAAATCATAGCGAGCCACCTTTCCCCTCGTCTTTTTTTTATTGCACACTGTGAGGCAGTACCACGTAGTAAACCACGTAAATCACGAGTAGATAGTGAGTGAGCAGCAATCTCAACCACTCACTCCCACTCTTTATTGTAATAACCGTATTATACCACACTAAAGAGTATCCGTACATTTCGCAGGTTATGAGCAACAATAGACCCACCTCAGCTCATCACCATTAGTAGCATAACAACCCAACAGTAATAGATTGATCTTCTATTCCATCAGTCATAGTAGCAGAACGCCGCCCAACAACAAGCGTTTACAGACTGAGTCGATATCCCGGAATTTTGACAGCAATAAAAATTCCTGGAAAGAGAACCCAGTACAAAATCACGTAGCACCCTACGGTACAAATTCTCAGAACACTAGTGTCACCAAGAACACTAGTACCAGTATCTGCAACAACAGTATACCACCATGGCACCAACAAAGAAACGGTCGTCAACACCAGGAGGTCGCGGGGGCAACCGAAACAACAATCCAAAATCCAACACCCCAGAGATAGGCAAATATCTAATAAAAACACCTCCTCGACAATCCCATACACCGAGTAGCCTCAAACTCATCCCATACGATGGGACAATCCAAAGGGAACTCAGAGCACTGGAACGAGTATTTCCCCCTCAATCCACACCAGTGATCTACRACAATGAGCTCTTTGCCTTCAAACCAAAATACCCACCATCGCCAACTAGTTATATGACCCACCTCACTGTTATCCACACCAAGGAACTCAACAGTACCGACAAAATAACAGCACTCGGCGATAACCTCCGAGACCTACTCCATAGGAACCACTTCCAAATAATTGACAAAGAGACAAGATATCATTACAGCATTGCCCTGATAGAGTATATGAATAAACTGCTTCCCCCTACCAAAGAAACACCACCAGAAGCAGTCCCAGCCCGACGACAATCTAACCCCCCCCCTCATCTCATGGGAAGCCCAGACCCACCCTCTAGAGAAGAAATCCGGCAACAAATACTCAATAAACTCACTATAAACCCCTCATCAGCACGCCAACAGGATCCAGCAACAAGTGACAGTGAATCGTCGATGAGCTCCATGGAAATACCACCAGCCGACCTCATTAAACAATTCGCGAAAGAACAAGAACACCACTTAAGCAAACGGATGGCACAAGAGGACCAGGAGGAACACATCACTGATCCAGAGGACAGTGTAGAGGAAAGGATCACACAGTATGAAAAGCAATATGAAACTATCGAAAATGASATCAGATCAATTCAAGACAGCTTTGACACTAACAATCCTACACAAAATACACCAACACTGGCAGACCAACTTAAAGCAAATGACGACAAATGGACCCRCAGACTTACCACGATCGATAAACAGATCCTTCAACTGCAGACAGGATACGAGACAGTCATTCAATCAACCACAACCAAACTAGCCAATACCAAAGAGGTGCTACACGCCACGAAAGCGGAACTGGATACTGCAACAGCAAACCTTCAAGCTGCCCTACAGACAGTCAACACCCTGAAGACCCAACTAAACTCACAAACAGATGAGCTACAGGGAGTACTCAATATTAGCACCGACCTCCAGAGCAATCTCAATGCAGCAGCCACCACAACGTGGGCACTAAACCAACGCACCACGAAAGCCAACTCAGTCCTTGCCTCCATTAAAAATGAAACCATCCAACTGAAACACCTTCCTGATGAAGCAAGCAGTATAACCACTCGGACACCGACTATCACCGCAGAACTCACTGATCAATTAAACACCATAGTYGAACAAAGCACAGAAAAGCTAAAGGAACAAACCAAAGCAATTGAAATTCAAGTCACAAGTGCTGTATTGGAACAGACACGACTAATGGAATCAATGCTTGAGACAACAATAGATGAGATCATCCAAAACAAGCTGGAACACAAAGAGCATATAGTCTAAAGCCTCAAAGATACAGTCATCTCTCAAGCTAAACGCGAAATAGTATCACAAGCAACCGAGACAATAAAAGAGGTTAATAACGACCTAACAAAAACAAAGAACAATCTCCAGCAGATATGTAACAACCATCTTGTTGCCAAACTCACGTCTCGTAAACAAGAAATAACACTTGCAATGGACAAATCAGCCTCAGCAGCACAGGAAAATATAGCACTTACAAAACACATCGCTGAAGCGGACATAACTCGGTCGGTTAAAGAACACATTACAACTGATCCATCGGTTGAAGAAACTATCAACACCCAAATCAATTCAACCATAAAATCAATAGTAGCATCCAGTGAGTTCAGAACGGACATCGACGCAACAATTCATACATACGTAACCCAATCAAATGATTTGAAGGACCTACTACAACATCAAGTACATGATATCATCACCACCAACAACGGCACCAACATCAGTCAACAGCAATCCGAAAAACAAAATAAAAAGTATCAAACAAAAACCAAATACATGAACACTCACATTGATAACAACACCACCTCCCCGGCTACCGACCAACATACATTCAGCAGCTCCCTCCCATTTGATGCGAGAGGAAACAGTGACAAAAACTTTGATATATATACGGAGCGGAAGCAGCAACTCTGGGATGAGAAAACTACTCACTACCACAACCATCGAATCAGCAAAGCAATACATGCGATGGACTTCAAAGACTTTAACCACAACCTGATCCCGACAACAAATCGATACCTCACCTCCACCRAATTCACAGCCATATACAATGAACTGTATGGAATGATGCAGTTGGAAAGYCTTCCCCTAGTTCCYCTCGAYAAGCTTCCGGAACTGGAAACATGCATTCCCCCTGCTCACACCGAAACAGAGGAAAATATCATCAAGATTGGAGCCTATATATACCGCCGTATCTCAGGCCTAATACCACCGACTCATCTCCTTCTCCGAGGACTAATCTCCCCATATACTCAAAACAACAAAGGATACGAGGCACTTTACGCATTGGCACGCCACTCCCTTGACTACCTGAAACCAACACAGAATGGATGGGGACCGGATTGGACAAAACAGGATGACCCTGGGACATACGTAGGCAAACTACAAGAACATGTTAGAACCAGCCGCCTCAGTCGTAATCATCAATACACTGAATTTGAACAAAGTCACGAGTTCGTATACCAAGCAATGACACATTTCAATTACACTGCGGGATGCTGCCTCCTGGTCCAACTGGACAACCACAGGAGACTAACACCAAACTTTAGACACAAACCAATCCCGGCACATTTGCAACTTACAGCCCTAACCAACTTCATTCTCGATCACCCCAACATCACACCGATTGCCCAACAACAAACACCGACAATCATTACGAAATTGGAGGCAAATAAAGGAGGCACAAACAAAGGGAAGAAATTTGAATACAGGAATAAAGTCCAATGCGAATGCTGTAAAACGTATGGACACAATGTAGGGGAGCAAATATGTCGATTCGGCGCACAACTCCACTATGCTCAACAGTATGCAACAAATCAGCCAGCAGATTTCAAAATGAATGCAATCAAACATAACAACATGCACACCAAGAAGGTAGTCCATCATTTTGAAAGCACCTTGAATGGTCGACATATTACCAAAGAAGACCATGAACGTGAACGCGAAGATCTTGCTCAGCTATTCACAACGGTCTCCTCAGACGAATAGGATACACGCCGTGTTCCTAGCGGAGCTCGGCCTATCAGACACAATCATGATCTCCCAACAACTCAAACACGCGTCATGGAGCTAGATCACCGAGGTTTTCCACCTCCACGGACTTCCCCACATGACAATGATATCTTCACACACTGCAAGATACCAGCGGACGAGCCAACGGACGAACAAATACACGCACACCACGACACCGCTAACGACCATGGGGAATACTATACCACACAGGACCTATCAACACCATTGTCCTCCGCATATAACGAACAAACAACAATGAGCAGCAATAATAGGAGTACAGCAACAAGCAACAGTAACAGTACTAAATCACAAGGAACTATCACGAAGCTTCACGATACAGCATCGGTACAAGCTGACTGTAGTACTAAATGTACACAAATTCAACGAACAACACACACAAGCGAAGACCAATCCCACAAACGACATAAGCCAAACACTCCTGATACTACAACATCCAGGTGCACTCCTAGTACTAAAGCGTTCAAGTACACACTTCAGACGGTACAAACAAAAACCCAATGCGGGAAATGTAATCAACTGGAACATACAGACACGTATAACCCGGAATACTACCCACGTGCAAATGATCTCACCCCATTCACGTTCTACGCAGAATCCCTCGCATCTGAGTACGATACCCRTCTCCCATACATCCGCATGACACACCCAACACTTAGGAAAAACATGCGCAAACGGATAATGATAGCGACCACGAGTCAACGAATCTATAGCCCAACCACCACAAGCCGACTCCGGGGCTAACATGTCAGCCACGAATCAAATAAAACTTCTTCATGAATATAAAAAATATAAAACTCCAATACCAGTTGGGGTATTCTCAGAAGACGCTACTCCGGACAATGCGCTACACGCATACGGCGAGGGCTATATACACATAATCTCAGACCAGGGAACTGTCATGCGTTGGACAACACTGTATACGCCCAAATCAACAGGAACAATACTCTCCCCTGAACACTACCGGGAGTCACGTGATTTCTACGCA